AAAAAATGGACTTTTTTCTCCTGCCATGGGGGGCGCTCTTTTCGGGAGTAAAAATTCCTTTACAAATGTGTTGATGGCTGGACATTGCATCATCCTAGAAAACTTAGAGGCCAGTGAGGACAAAACTAAAAAGTTATAAGACTATTAAGAATGTGGATTTTTGGGTTATCTTTGGCGCCCCCTAGAACCTAAACCGTGGAGGGCAGCGTCATGATTTGTACAACTTTTAATGGCCATGGGGTGTAGATTGGCCTGAGCAAATTTGGTGCCGGTAGAAAGATAGCCTTCGGAGGAGTTAGCGAAATTCCAATGTGTGCGAATCGGCAAAAAATGCAAAATAGCCCTTTAACCGTACATTTGACAGATATGTGCCCTTTGACTTTTTCGTAGATCTTATTGAGATACACGTTATTGTCAAATTTTGTGTCAATATGACAAAGGGTACAGGGGTGACACTCAAAAATGTGTATTTTCACCTTACGGGACAAGAAAAAATGGACTTTTTTCTCCTGCCATGGGGGGGCGCTCTTTTGGGGAGTAAAAATTTGTTCACAGATGTGTTGATGGCTGGACATTGCATCATCCTAGAAAACTTGGAGGCCAGTTTGGAGAAAAATAAAAAGTTATAAGACTTTTAACACTTTGGATTTTTGGGTTATCTTTGGCGCCCCCTAGAACCTAAACCGTGGGGTGCAGCAAGATGATTTGTACAACTTTTAATGGCCATGGGGGGTAGATTGGCCTGCGCAAATGTGGTGCCGGTGGAACGAAAGCCTTCGGAGGAGTTAGCGAAATTCCAATGTGTGCAGATCTGCAAAAAATGCGAAATAACCCTTTAACCGTACATTTGACAGATACGCCCGCACTGACTTTTTTGTAGATCTTATTGAGATACATGTGTGTGTCAATTTTTGTGTCATTTTGACAAAGCGTACAGCCCGCATGTGAATTTTCACCTTAGGGGGCGCTATGGAGCCATTTTGCATTGTATTGTTTGGGCGACTTCAGAATATCGAATTTTTCACCAGGCCCGGTCTTCCTGCCAAATTTCCTGAGTTTTCGCCAGTGGGAAGTGGGCCATTTTCCAGTTTAAAGCGGAGGAAAAATAACGAAAGAAGAATCCATCAGGAACAAGAGGGCTCTCGCAGCTGCTTAGCAGCTACGCTCGGGCCCTAACTAGGGCCCCGGTGGGGCACTGTCGGGCCCGAGCCGCGTCGCGCCGCCCCCAGCGCGACCGCCTCCCCCTCCCGATCGCGTCACACTCAAGGTCCAAAGATGGTGTGCGCACTTGTCTGTGGTCATTTCCCATTATAATGAATGGGAGGCGCAGTTTCTACCAAAACACTCGCTGCAGACAAACTTCATGTCCTATGTAAAAAAGTCTGGACCATGAGTGAGGGCACAAACACAGCTATGATATATCGAAATGGCAGGTTGCTCCTCCTTACGGTGTTGCCTGGAGAGCGATGCGATTGAGCCATTGAGCGATGGGCAGGGTTAACTTGACTTTTTCTCCTGCCTGGGGGGGGGATGTGGATTCCTTTAAGAATGTGGATTTTTGGGTCATCTTTGGCGCCCCCTAGAACGTAAACCGTGGGGTGCAGCGTCATGATTTTTACAACTTTGAATGGCCATGGGGTGTAGATTGGCCTGAGCAAATTTGGTGTCAGTGGGACGAAAGCCTTAGGAGGAGTTAGCCACATTCCAATGTGTGCGAATCGGCAAAAAATGCAAAATAGCCCTTTAACCATACATTTGACAGATACGCGCGAATTGACTTTTTTGTAGATCTTATTGAGATACATATGTGTGTCAATTTTTGTGTCAATATGATAAAGCGTACAGGCGTGACAGTCAATAGTGTGAATTTCCACCTTAGGGGACAAGAAAAAATTGACTTTTTTCTCCTGCCATGGGGGGGCGCTCTTTTGGGGAGTAAAAATTCCTTCACAAATGTGTTGATGGCTGGACATTGCATCATCCTAGAAAACTTGGAGGCCAGTGAGGACAAAAATAAAAAGTTATAAGACTTTTAAATATGTGGATTTTAGGGTTATCTTTGGCGCCCCCTAGAACCTAAACCGTGGGGTGCAGCGTCATGATTTGAATAACTTTTAATGGCCATGGGGTGTAGATTGGCCTGAGCAAATGTGGTGCCGGTGGAACGAAAGCCTTCGGAGGAGTTAGCGAAATTCCAATGTGTGCGCATCGGCAAAAAATGCGGAATAACCCTTTAACCGTACATTTGACAGATACGCGCGCATTGACTTTTTCGTAGATCTTATTGAGATACATGTGTGTGTCAACTTTTGTGTCATTTTGCCAAAGCGTACAGGTGTTACACTCAACAATGTGTATTTTCACCTTAGGGGACAAGAAAAAATGGACTTTTTTCTCCTGCCATGGGGGGGCGCTCTTTTGGGGAGTAAAAATTCCTTCACAAATGTGTTGATGGCTGGACATTGCATCATCCTAGAAAACTTGGAGGCCAGTGAGGGCAAAAATAAAAAGTTATAAGACTTTTAAATATGTGGATCTTAGGGTTATCTTTGGCGCCCCCTACAACCTAAACCGTGGGGTGCAGCCTCATGATTTGAATAACTTTTAATGGCCATGGGGTGTAGATTGGCCTGAGCAAATGTGGTGCCGGTGGAACGAAAGCCTTCGGAGGAGTTAGCGAAATTCCAATGTGTGCGGATCGGCAAAAAATGCGAAATAACCCTTTAACCGTACATTTGACAGATACGCCCGCACTGACTTTTTTGTAGATCTTATTGAGATACATGTGTGTGTCAATTTTTGTGTCATTTTGACAAAGCGTACACGCGTGACAGTCAATAGTGTGAATTTTCACCTTAGGGGGCGCTATGGAGCCATTTTGCATTTTCTTGTTTGGGCGACTTCGGAATATCAAATTTTTCACCAGGCCCGGTCGTCCTGCCAAATTTCATGAGTTTTCGCCAGTGGGAAGTGGGCCATTTTCCAGTTCAAAGGGGAGGAAAAATAATAATAATAACAAAAGAAGGAAACATGCAGGAACAAGAGGGCTCTCACAGCTGCTTAGCAGCTACGCTCGGGCCCTAAGAAAGAAACAAAGAAAAACCACTTGGGGAATAATAGGGCTCTCGCAGCTGCTTAGCAGCTACGCTCGGGCCCTAATAATAACTAGGACCCCGTTGGGGCACTGGCGGGCCCGAGCTGTGTCGCGTCCCCCCCCCAACGCGCTGCCTCCCCGTCCCATTTGTGTCCTCTGGCCATCGCCCTCTCTGGTAACGCCCATCACTGCAAAGACCCTTTTCCTTCATCGGCGTTTGCTGTTCTTCCTGCCAGTGCGTGTTGCTTTCACTTACACTTGCCACAGCCAGCCTCGTGAGTGCCTAGCCTATTGGATATCACTGTCACCTACACAGGACAGTCATTACCTTTCTATTAATACTTTGTTTTTTAATTTCACATTAATTTCCATATTGTATAAACAACTGGAAAAAACTTGAGCCCCTGCCCCTGTATAATCATGTGCACGTCTCTGTTCTAGCTCTAAGGTGAATCTTCACTGCTCATGTTCTCCTCAGAAGCAGTCACCTCACTCCCCTCAGGTTACTGTACACATGCACCAACTGCCTGCTTCAGGTTTGGATGGAGCTTCATGGTTGTCTTTTGGAGAAATGACCAGTCAAGTTGTGTTTGAAATTTGATTTTTTTCAGGGGCAAAAGGAGCCTCTGCATTCTTGTCAAATATGTAAATAGCATGTTTTTGCAGGTGCTAAAAACCAGACTCTGAGTGTGTGTGTGTGCGTGTGTGTGTGTGTGTGTGTGTGTGTGTGTGTGTGTGTGTGTGTGTGTGCGTTCAAGTCACATGACATATTTAACCGGATGTAGCTGCAAGACGGAGCCTCGTTGACTCTCCGTTTCAACTTATCTCAAATTGAGGACCTCAACCTATATACCAGTTTTTAAATTGTGTTGATAGGCCAAATAAAACCAGAGTTATGATAAATTATGTCCGCGATACTTGTTTTCTGCTTATTTTGATCACGTTCGGCGCTCGATCGCGCTGTATGAGACAGGAAAACATAGCATGCAGACATTAGCGACAGGTCTTACAGGCGGAAAAGGCTTGCCAAAGGAAAAAAAAAAACACACCACAACATCTCTCCTATTGGTGGAAAACTTCACCACAACAACCAATCCAAAATTATATGGTGACTGATTGACAAGGGGCGGGCGCTTACGTTCTTCCTGCAATATGAGAAGGGAGGGAGGGACTCTCAGCAGGGATGCAGTCTGGGACACGTAGTTGCAAACCTAGCGACTTTGTTGTTAGATTCAATGACTTTTCAGACCCCCTAACGACTTTTTTAGAAAGAAAGTGACTTTTATCGACTTCTTCTGGAGTTTAGAGACTCTGACATGAAGCAGGCTTTCCTTACTGAGGAGTTAGCAACGCTGCTAAGGGTGCAGAGCCACACATGCGCTCAGAGCTCTGCATGGGAGACTGAAGCTGACAGAGCTGCAGCAGTTAGCAGGTTTCACCCTCAGAGACCACCAGGGGTTCATGTTGAGGCATTTTCAGTTTTTTTTTTTTTTTTGCCATAGACACTGTCAGCACAATCTGCAGTTACACTAACAAAAATGCTGCAAAAAACAAAGAATTATGGAAAAATTACACATGGACTGACATAGAGGAGGATCTACACAAGTTTTTTACATCATGTTTTACATCATGCATCATTTACATCATGTTTTTTTGTAGTGGCATAAATAAAAAGTGACATTTGTGAGACTATACAGTGTTTTGTAAATAATTTTACAAAGAACACCTGGGCCATTGCCTGCATTTTGATGTAAATAGAGGTAAATTACTATGTTCTTTGTTAAAAATTTGCATATGTTTTGAAGTTTACAATTTTTATTTGAAGTTTAAGTTTTAAAAACAGTTCATCACACATATTTGTGGTTTAATTTCACATTAATTTCCATATTGTATAAATGACTGGAAAAAACTTGAGCCCCTGCCCCTGTATAATCATGTGCACGTCCCTGTTCTAGCTCCAAGGTGAATCTTCACTGCTCATGTTCTCCTCAGAAGTAGTCACCTCACTCTCCTCAGGTTACTGTACACATGCACCAACTATCTGCTTCAGGTTTGGATGGAGCTTCATGGTTGTCTTTTGGAGAAATGAACAGTCAAGTTGTGTTTGAAATTTGATTTTTTTCAGGGGCAAAAGGAAGCCTCTGCATTCTTGTCAAATATGTAAACAGCATGTTTTTGCAGGTGCTAAAAAACAGACTCTGAGTGTGTGTGTGTGTGTGTGTGTGTGTGTGTGTGTGTGTGTCCGGCAGTACTCTGTACTCCTGCAGTGGCCAAAAAGACTTATAAGAATGTGGATTTTTGGGTCATCTTTGGCGCCCCCTAGAACTGCAGTACTCTGTACTCCTGCAGTGGCCAAAATGACTTTTAAGAATGTGGATTTTTGGGTCATCTTTGGCGCCCCCTAGAACGTAAACCGTGGGATGCAGCGTCATGATTTTTACAACTTTGAATGGCCATGGGGTGTAGATTGCCCTGAGCAAATTTGGTATCGGTGGGACGAAAGCCTTAGGAGGAGATAGCCACATTCCAATGTGTGCGAATCGGCAAAAAATGCGAAATAGCCCTTTAACCATACATTTGACAGATACGTGCCTATTGACTTTTTTGTAGATCTTATTGAGATACACGTGATTGTCAAATTGTGTGTCAATATGACAAAGTGTATAGGCGTGACACTCAACAATGTGTATTTTTACCTTAGGAGACAAGAAAAAATGGACTTTTTTCTCCTGCCATGGGGGGGCGCTCTTTTGGGGAGTAAAAATTCCTTCACAAATGTGTTGATGGCTGGACATTGCATCATCCTAGAAAACTTGGAGGCCAGTGAGGACAAAAATAAAAAGTTATAAGACTTTTAAAAATGTGGATTTTTGTGTTATCTTTGGCGCCCCCTAGAAAGTAAACCGTGGGGTGCAGCATCATGATTTGTACAACTTTTAATGGCCATGGGGTGTAGATTGGCCTGAGCAAATGTGGTGCCGGTGGAACGAAAGCCTTCGGAGGAGTTAGCGAAATTCCAATGTGTGCGGATCGGCAAAAAAAGCGAAATAGCCCTTTAACCGTACATTTGGCAGATACGCCCGCACTGACTTTTTCATAGATCTTATTGAGATACACATGTGTGTCAAATTTTGTGTCATTTTGACAAAGCGGACAGGCATCAGGTGAGTTTTCACCATAGGGGGCGCTATGGAGCCATTTTTCATTTTTTTGTTTGGACGACTTCAGAATATCAAATTTTTCACCAGGCCCGGTCGTCCTGCCAAATTTCCTGAGTTTTCGCCAGTGGGAAGTGGGCCATTTTCCAGTTTAAAGCGGAGGAAAAATAACGAAAGAAGAATCCATCAGGAACAAGAGGGCTCTCGCAGCTGCTTAGCAGCTACGCTCGGGCCCTAACAAAAGAAGGAAACATGCAGGAACAAGAGGGCTCTCGCAGCTGCTTAGCAGCTACGCTCGGGCCCTAATTGACTTTTTTCTCCGGCCATGGGGGGCGCTCTTTTGGGGAGTAAAAATTCCTTCACAAATGTGTTGATGGCTGGACATTGCATCATCCTAGAAAACTTGGAGGCCAGTGAGGGCAAAAATAAAAAGTTATAAGACTTTTAAATATGTGGATTTTAGGGTTATCTATGGCGCCCCCTAGAACCTAAACCGTGGGGTGCAGCGTCATGATTTGAATAACTTTTAATGGCCATGGGGTGTAGATTGGCCTGAGCAAATGTGGTGCCGGTGGAAAGAAAGCCTTCGGAGGAGTTAGCGAAATTCCAATGTGTGCGGATCGGCAAAAAATGCGGAATAACCCTTCAACCGTACATTTGACAGATACGCCCGCACTGACTTTTTTGTAGATCTTATTGAGATACATATGTGTGTCAATTTTTGTGTCATTTTGACAAAGCGTAAAGGCGTGACAGTCAATAGTGTGAATTTTCACCTTAGGGGGCGCTATGGAGCCATTTTGCATTTTCTTGTTTGGGCGACTTCGGAATATCAAATTTTTCACCAGGCCCGGTCATCCTGCCAAATTTCATGAGTTTTCGCCAGTGGGAAGTGGGCCATTTTCCAGTTCAAAGGGGAGGAAAAAGAAGAAAGAAAGAAACAAAGAAAAACCACTTGGGGAATAATAGGGCTCTCGCAGCTGCTTAGCAGCTACGCTCGGGCCCTAAAGAAACAAAGAAAAACCACTTGGGGAATAATAGGGCTCTCGCAGCTGCTTAGCAGCTACGCTCGGGCCCTAATAAGCAAGTAAATAAATGTTTTGGACAGTGATTTTAACCCTAACCCCAAAAAACTTAAACCTTACCCTAGCCCCAAAACCTAATACCCGGGTGTTACCTTCAGAAAGCCCGAAAACCCCAAATATTTTTTTTTTCATTTTTCATTTTATTTTGGTCTAACTAACTCCAAAAGGTTGGAAAAGAGTTCCTACAAAGGTTTTGGACAGTGATTTTAACCCTAACGCAAAAAAAACATTAAACCTTTCCATAGCCCCATAATCTAATACCTTCAGGAAGACCGAACACCCCAAATATATTTTTTTTAATTTTTCGTTTATTTTTGGTGTAACTAACTCCAAAAGGTTGGAAAAGAGTTCCTACAAAGGTTAGCTTAGCTTAGCAGCTACGCTCGGGCCCTAATAAGCAAGTAAATAAATGTTTTGGACAGTGATTTTAACCCTAACCCCAAAAACCTTAAACCTTACCCTAGCCCCATAACCTAATACCTGGGTATTGCCTTCAGGAAGCCCAAACACCCCAAATATTTCTTTTTCATTTTACAATTTTTTTTAGGTCTAACTAACTCCATAAGGTTGGAAAAGAGTTCCTACAAAGGTTTTGGACAGTGATTTTAACCCTAACGCCAAAAACATTAAACCTTTCCATAGCCCCATAATCTAATACCTTCAGGAAGACCGAACACCCCAAATATTTTTTTTTCATTTTTTGTTTTATTTTGGTCTAACTAACTCCAAAAGGTTGGAAAAGAGTTCCTACAAAGGTTTTGGACAGTGATTTTAACCCTAACTCCAAAAACATTTAAACCTTACCCTAGCCCCATTACCTAATACCCGGGTATTACCTTCAGGAAGCCCGAACACCCTAAATATTTCTTGTTCCTTTTTCTTTTTTTTTTTGGTTTAACTAACTCCAAAAGGTTGGAAAGGAGTTCCTACAAAGGTTTTGGACAGTGATTTTAACCCTCACGCCAAAAACCTTACCCTAGCCCCATAACCTAATACCCGGGTATTACCTTCAGGAAGACCGAACACCCCAAATATTTTTTTTTCATTTTTTGTTTTATTTTGGTCTAACTAACTCCAAAACGTTGGAAAAGAGTTCCTACAAAGGTTTTGGACAGTGATTTTAACCCTAACGCCAAAAACCTTAAACCTTACCCTAGCCCCATAACCTCATACCTTCAGGAAGCCCGAACACCCCAAATATTTCTTTTTCATTTTACAATTTTTTTTTTGGTGTAACTAACTCCAAAAGGTTGGAAAAGAGTTCCTACAAAGGTTTTGGACAGTGATTTTAACCCTAACGCCAAAAACCTTACCCTAGCCCCATAACCTAATACCCGGGTATTACCTTCAGGAAGACCGAACATCCCAAATATTTTTTTTTCATTTTTTGTTTTATTTTGGTCTAACTGACTCCAAAAGGTTGGAAAAGAGTTCCTACAAAGGTTTTGGACAGTGATTTTAACCCTAACGCCAAAAACCTTAAACCTTTCACTAGCCCCATAACCTAATACCCGGCTATTACCTTCAGGAAGCCCGAACACCCCAAATATTTCTTTTTCATTTTACAATTTTTTTTTGGTGTAACTAACTCCAAAAGGTTGGAAAAGAGTTCCTACAAAGGTTTTGGACAGTGATTTTAACCCTAACGCCAAAAACCTTACCCTAGCCCCATAACCTAATACCCGGGTATTACCTTCAGGAAGACCGAACACCCCAAATATTTTTTTTTCATTTTTTGTTTTATTTTGGTCTAACTAACTCCAAAAGGTTGGAAAAAAGTTCCTACAAAGGTTTTGGACAGTGATTTTAACCATATTGCCAAAAACCTTAAACCTTACCAAAGCCCCATAACCTAATACCTGGGTATTACCTTCAGGAAGCCCGAACACCCCAAATATTTCTTTTTCATATTTCAATTTTTTTTTTGGTTTAACTAACTCCAAAAGGTTGGAAAGGAGTTCCTACAAAGGTTTTGGACAGTGATTTTAACCCTAACGCCAAAAACCTTAAACCTTACCCTAGCCCCAAAACCTAATACCCGGGTGTTACCTTAAGAAAGACCGAAAACCCCAAATATTTTTTTTTTCATTTTTCATTTTTTTCTGGTCTAACTAACTCCAAAAGGTTGGAAAAGAGTTCCTACAAAGGTTTTGGACAGTGATTTTAACCCTAACGCCAAAAACCTTAAACCTTTCACTAGCCCCATAACCTAATACCCGGGTATGACCTTCAGGAAGACCGAACACCCCAAATATTTCTTGTTCATTTTACAAATTTTTTTTTGGTGTAACTAACTCCAAAAGGTTGGAAAAGAGTTCCTACAAAGGTTTTGGACAGTGATTTTAACCCTAACGCCAAAAAACTTACCCTAGCCCCATAACCTAATACCCGGGTATTACCTTCAGGAAGCCCGAACACCCCAAATATTTTTTTTTCATTTTTTGTTTTATTTTGGTCTAACTAACTCCAAAAGGTTGGAAAAGAGTTCCTACAAAGGTTTTGGACAGTGATTTTAACCATAACGCCAAAAACCTTAAACCTTTCACTAGCCCCATAACCTAATACCCGGGTATTACCTTCAGGAAGCCTGAACACCCCAAATATTTCTTTTTCATTTTACAATTTTTTTTTTGGTGTAACTAACTCCAAAAGGTTGGAAAAGAGTTCCTACAAAGGTTTTGGACAGTGATTTTAACCCTAACGCCAAAAACCTTACCCTAGCCCCATAACCTTATACCCGGGTATTACCTTCAGGAAGACCGAACACCCCAAATATTTTTTTTTCATTTTTTGTTTTATTTTGGTCTAACTAACTCCAAAAGGTTGGAAAAGAGTTCCTACAAAGGTTTTGGACAGGGATTTTAACCCTAACGCCAAAAACCTTAAACCTGACCCTAGCCTGATTACCCTGATATCTGAGTATTACCTTCAGGAAGCCCGAACACCCCAAATATGTTTTTTTATTTTTGATTTCTTTTCTGGTCTAACTAACTCCAAAAGGTTGGAAAAGAGTTCCTACAAAGGTTTTGGACAGTGATTTTAACCCTAACGCCAAAAACCCTAAACCTTTCACCAGCCCCATGACCTAATACCCGGGTATTACCTTCAGGAAGACCGAACACCCCAAATATTTCTTGTTCATTTTACAAATTTTTTTTTGGTGTAACTAACTCCAAAAGGTTGGAAAAGAGTTCCTACAAAGGTTTTGGACAGTGATTTTAACCCTAACGCCAAAAACCTTACCCTAGCCCCATAACCTAATACCCGGGTATTACCTTCAGGAAGACCGAACACCCCAAATATTTTTTTTTTCATTTTTTGTTTTATTTTGGTCTAACTAACTCCAAAAGGTTGGAAAAGAGTTCATACAAAGGTTTTGGACATTGATTTTAACCCTAACGCCAAAAACCTTAAACATTACCCTAGCCCCATAACCTAATACCCAGGTATTACCTTCAGGAAGACCGAACATCCCAAATATTTTTTTTTCATTTTTTGTTTTATTTTGGTCTAACTAACTCCAAAAGGTTGGAAAAGAGTTCCTACAAAGGTTTTGGACAGTGATTTTAACCCTAACGCCAAAAACCTTAAACCTTACCAAAGCCCCATAACCTAATACCCGGGTATTACCTTCAGGAAGCCCGAACACCCCAAATATTTCTTTTTCATTTTACAATTTTTTTTTTGGTTAACTAACTCCAAAAGGTTGGAAAGAGTTCCTACAAAGGTTTTGGACAGTGATTTTAACCCTAACGCCAAAAACCTTAAACCTTAGCCCCATTACCTAATACCCGGGTATTACCTTCAGAAAGCCCGAAAACCCCAAATATTTCTTTTTCATTTTTCGTTTTTTTTGGTCTAACTAACTCCAAAAGGTTGGAAAAGAGTTCCTACAAAGGTTTTGGACAGTGATTTTAACCCTAACGCCAAAAACCTTAAACCTTACCCTAGCCCCATAACCTAATACCCGGGTATTACCTTCAGGAAGCCCGAAAACCCCAAATATTTTTTTTTCATTTTTCATTTTTTTTAGGTCTAACTAACTCCAAAAGGTTGGAAAAGAGTTCCTACAAAGGTTTTGGACAGTGATTTTAACCCTAACGCCAAAAACCTTAAACCTTACCCAAGCCCCATAACCTAATACCCGGGTATTACCTTCAGGAAGCCCGAACACCCCAAATATTTCTTTTTCATTTTACAATTTTTTTTTTGGTGTAACTAACTCCAAAAGGTTGGAAAAGAGTTCCTACAAAGGTTTTGGACAGTGATTTTAACCCTAATGCCAAAAACCTTAAACCTTACCCTAGCCCCATAACCTAATACCCGGGTATTACCTTCAGGAAGCCCGAAAACCCCAAATATTTTTTTTTCATTTTTCATTTTTTTTCTGGTCTAACTAACTCCAAAAGGTTGGAAAAGAGTTCCTACAAAGGTTTTGGACAGTGATTTTAACCCTTACGCCAAAAACCTGAAACCTTTCACTAGCCCCATAACCTAATACCCGAGTATTACCTTCAGGAAGCCCAAATATTTCTTTTTCATTTTACAATTTTTTTTTTGGTGTAACTAACTCCAAAAGGTTGGAAAAGAGTTCCTACAAAGGTTTTGGACAGTGATTTTAACCCTAACGCCAAAAACCTTACCCTAGCCCCATAACCTAATACCCGGGTATTACCTTCAGGAAGACCGAACATCCCAAATATTTTTTTTTCATTTTTTGTTTTATTTTGGTCTAACTAACTCCAAAAGGTTGGAAAAGAGTTCCTACAAAGGTTTTGGACAGGGATTTTAACCCTAATGCCAAAAACCTTAAACCTTACCCTAGCCCCGTAACCTAATACCCGGGTATTACCTTCAGGAAGCCTGAACACCCCAAACATTTATTTTTCATTTTTCGTTTTTTTTAGGTCTAACTAACTCTAAAAGGTTGGAAAAGAGTTCCTACAAAGATTTTGGACAGGGATTTTAACCCTAACGCCAAAAACCTTAAACCTTACCCTAGCCCCGTAACCTAATACCCGGGTATTACCTTCAGGAAGCCCGAACACCCCAAATATTTTTTTTTCATTTTTCATTTTTTTTTGGTCTAACTAACTCCAAAAGGTTGGAAAAGAGTTCCTACAAAGGTTTTGGACAGTGATTTTGACCCTAACGCCAAAAACCTTAAACCTTACCCTAGCCCCATAACCTAATACCTGGGTATTACCTTCAGGAAGACCGAACACCCCAAATATTTTTTTTTCATTTTTTGTTCATTTTTGGTGTATCTAACTCCAAAAGGTTGGAAAAGAGTTCCTACAAAGGTTTTGGACAGTGATTTTAACCCTTACGCCAAAAACCTTAAACCTGACCCTAGCCTGATTACCCTGATACCTGGGTATTACATTCAGGAAGCCCGAACACCCAAAATATGTTTTTTTATTTTTGACTTCTTTTCGGTCTAACTAACTCCAAAAGGTTGGAAAAGAGTTCCTACAAAGGTTTTGGACAGTGATTTTAACCCTAACTCCAAAAACATTTAAACCTTACCCTAGCCCCATAACCTAATACCCGGGTATTACCTTCAGGAAGACCGAACACCCCAAATATTTCTTGTTCCTTTTTCTTTTTTTTTTGGTTTAACTAACTCCAAAAGGTTGGAAAGGAGTTCCTACAAAGGTTTTGGACAGTGATTTTAACCCTAACTCCAAAAACCTGAAACCTTACCCTAGCCCCATAACCTAATACCCGGGTATTACCTTCAGGAAGACCGAACACCCCAAATATTTCTTGTTCCTTTTTCTTTTTTTTTTGGTTTAACTAACTCCAAAAGGTTGGAAAGGAGTTCCTACAAAGGTTTTGGACAGTGATTTTAACCCTAACGCCAAAAACCTTACCCTAGCCCCATAACCTAATACCCGGGTATTACCTTCAGGAAGCCCGAACACCCCAAATATTTTTTTTTCATTTTTCGTTTTTTTTAGGTCTAACTAACTCCAAAAGGTTGGAAAAGAGTTCCTACAAAGGTTTTGGACAGTGATTTTAACCCTAACGCCAAAAACCTTAAACCTTACCCTAGCCCCGTAACCTAATACCCGGGTATTACCTTCAGAAAGCCCGAAAACCCCAAATATTTTTTTTTCATTTTTCATTTCTTTCCGGTCTAACTAACTCCAAAAGGTTGGAAAAGAGTTCCTACAAAGGTTTTGGACAGTGATTTTAACCCTAACGCCAAAAACCTTAAACCTTACCCTAGCCCCATAACCTAATACCTGGGTATTACCTTCAGGAAGCCCGAACACCCCAAACATTTTTTTTTCATTTTTTATTTTTTTTAGGTCTAACTAACTCCAAAAGGTTGGAAAAGAGTTCCTACAAAGGTTTTGGACAGTGATTTTTTTTTATGATTAACATTTTTTATTTCCATTTTTCTTTTAAACAGTACAAACACAAACACAAAAACACAAAACATCCCTCCCTCCCTCCCCAAGTCACCACCAACTGCACTCATTCCTCTCTGGCTTGCAAAGTACGCCACTGTGCTACTCCTTGTACCACTTGCCTTGTTGGATCGGATGCATCAATGTAGCTAAACATAAAGCAATCACAATCTCTACTCAAATCATCGTTGAGATACAAGAAAATATATGAATAAAATAAGACAAAATAATAAATAAAAAAATATTAATAAGTATATAACAATAAATATAAATATACATACACATACTATAAAATAGAATAATAACTATAGTAATAGAAAATATACAATATATATACTATATGTAATTATAATTATATCAGTTCACAAAATATAAATGATATGTACATAAAAATAAATAAATACATAAATAAATATATAAAAATAACTGAATACATACAAACACCTAATAAGCAAGTAATTTAAAATAATGGGTTAAAAAAAAAAGACTATAGATAGTAATGGAAGTTATAACAGAACAGGAGACATCATTAAAGTAACACCCATAACAACTAAATATATATGTATATATATTAACATCTAAATATACATGTATGCCCATGCATACACATATACACAGACACAAAAGGGTTAACAAATACAAATGGAAACAACAATAAAAAAAATATTATAATAATAATAAATAAAATATATATATATATATACATACATACACACACATATACATATATATATATATATATATATATACATACACATGTAGATGCATATACACATTATAATAATAATAATAATAATAGTAATAGTAATAGAAATAATAAATAAATGAGTAAATAACTAAATAAGCAAGTAAATAAATGTTTTGGACAGTGATTTTAACCATAATGCCAAAAACCTTAAACCTTACCAAAGCCCCATAACCTAATACCTGGGTATTACCTTCAGGAAGCCCGAACACCCCAAATATTTCTTTTTCATTTTACAATTTTTTTTTTGGTTTAACTAACTCCAAAAGGTTGGAAAGAAGTTCCTACAAAGGTTTTGGACAGTGATTTTAACCCTAACGCCAAAAAACTTAAACCTTACCCTAGCCCCAAAACCTAATACCCGGGTGTTACCTTCAGAAAGCCCGAAAACCCCAAATATTCTTTTTTTCATTTTTCATTTTATTTTGGTCTAACTAACTCCAAAAGGTTGGAAAAGAGTTCCTACAAAGGTTTTGGACAGTGATTTTAACCCTCACGCCAAAAACCTTAAACCTTTCCCTAGCCCAATAACCTAATACCTGGGTATTGCCTTCAGGAAGCCCAAACACCCCAAATATTTCTTTTTCATTTTACAATTTTTTTTAGGTCTAACTAACTCCATAAGGTCTGAAACATGTTCCTAAAAAGGTTTTGGACAGTGATTTTAACCCTAACGCCAAAAACATTAAACCTTTCCATAGCCCCATAATCTAATACCTTCAGGAAGACCGAACACCCCAAATATTTTTTTTTCATTTTTCGTTCATTTTTGGTGTAACTAACTCCAAAAGGTTGGAAAAGAGTTCCTACAAAGGTTTTGGACAGTGATTTTAACCCTAACGCCAAAAACCTTAAACCTTACCCTAGCCCCAAAACCTAATACCCGGGTATTACCTTCAGGAAGCCCAAAACCCAAAATATTTTATTTTTCATTTTTCATTTTTTTTGGGTCTAACTAACTCCAAAAGGTTGGAAAAGAGTTCCTACAAAGGTTTTGGACAGTGATTTTAAACCTAACGCCAAAAACCTTAAATCTTACCCTAGCCCCATAACCTTATACCCGGGTATTACCTTCAGGAAGCCCAAACACCCCAAATATTTCTTTTTCATTTTACAATTTTTTTTTCGTTTAACTTACTCCAAAAGGTTGGAAACATGTTCCTAAAAAGGTTTTGGACAGTGATTTTAACCCTAACGCCAAAAACATTAAACCTTTCCATAGCCCCATAATCTAATACCCGGGTATTACCTTCAGGAAGACCGAACACCCCAAATATTTCTTGTTCCTTTTTCTTTTTTTTTTGGTTTAACTAACTCCAAAAGGTTGGAAAGGAGTTCCTACAAAGGTTTTGGACAGTGATTTTAACCCTAACGCCAAAAACCTTACCCTAGCCCCAAAACCTAATACCCGGGTATTACCTTCAGGAAGCCCGAACACCCCAAACATTTTTTTTTCATTTTTCGTTTTTTTTAGGTCTAACTAACTCTAAAAGGTTGGAAAAGAGTTCCTACAAAGATTTTGGACAGGGATTTTAACCCTAACGCCAAAAACCTTAAACCTTACCCTAGCCCCGTAACCTAATACCCGGGTATTACCTTCAGAAAGCCCGAAAACCCCAAATATTTTTTTTTCATTTTTCATTTCTTTCCGGTCTAACTAACTCCAAAACATTGGAAAAGAGTTCCTACAAAGGTTTTGGACAGTGATTTTGACCCTAACGCCAAAAACCTTAAACCTTACCCTAGCCCCATAACCTAATACCTGGGTATTACCTTCAGGAAGCCCGAACACCCCAAACATTTTTTTTTCATTTTTTATTTTTTTTAGGTCTAACTAACTCCAAAAGGTTGGAAAAGAGTTCCTACAAAGGTTTTGGACAGTGATTTTTTTTTATGATTAACATTTTTTATTTCCATTTTTCTTTTAAACAGTACAAACACAAACACAAAAACACAAAACATCCCTCCCTCCCTCCCCAAGTCACCACCAACTGCACTCATTCCTCTCTGGCTTGCAAAGTACGCCACTGTGCTACTCCTTGTACCACTTGCCTTGTTGGATCGGATGCATCAATGTAGCTAAACATAAAGCAATCACAATCTCTACTCAAATCATCGTTGAGATACAAGAAAATATATGAATAAAATAAGACAAAATAATAAATAAAAAAATATTAATAAGTATATAACAATAAATATAAATATACATACACATACTATAAAATAGAATAATAACTATAGTAATAGAAAATATACAATATATATACTATATGTAATTATAATTATATCAGTTCACAAAATATAAATGATATGTACATAAAAATAAATAAATACATAAATAAATATATAAAAATAACTGAATACATACAAACACCTAATAAGCAAGTAATTTAAAATAATGGGTTAAAAAAAAAAGACTATAGATAGTAATGGAAGTTATAACAGAACAGGAGACATCATTAAAGTAACACCCATAACAACTAAATATATATGTATATATATTAACATCTAAATATACATGTATGCCCATGCATACACATATACACAGACACAAAAGGGTTAACAAATACAAATGGAAACAACAATAAAAAAAAAATAATAATAATAATAAATAAAATATATATATATATATACATACATACACACACATATACATATATATATATATATATATATATATACATACACATGTAGATGCATATACACATTATAATAATAATAATAATAATAGTAATAGTAATAGAAATAATAAATAAATGAGTAAATAACTAAATAAGCAAGTAAATAAATGTTTTGGACAGTGATTTTAACCATAATGCCAAAAACCTTAAACCTTACCAAAGCCCCATAACCTAATACCTGGGTATTACCTTCAGGAAGCCCAAACACCCCAAATATTTCTTTTTCATTTTACAATTTTTTTTTTGGTTTAACTAACTCCAAAAGGTTGGAAAGAAGTTCCTACAAAGGTTTTGGACAGTGATTTTAACCCTAACGCCAAAAAACTTAAACCTTACCCTAGCCCCAAAACCTAATACCCGGGTGTTACCTTCAGAAAGCCCGAAAACCCCAAATATATTTTTTTTCATTTTTCATTTTATTTTGGTCTAACTAACTCCAAAAGGTTGGAAAAGAGTTCCTACAAAGGTTTTGGACAGTGATTTTAACCCTCACGCCAAAAACCTTAAACCTTTCCCTAGCCCAATAACCTAATACCTGGGTATTGCCTTCAGGAAGCCCAAACACCCCAAATATTTCTTTTTCATTTTACAATTTTTTTTAGGTCTAACTAACTCCAAAAGGTTGGAAAAGAGTTCCTAAAAAGGTTTTGGACAGTGATTTTAACCCTAACGCCAAAAACATTAAACCTATTCCATAGCCCCATAATCTAATACCTTCAGGAAGACCGAACACCCCAAATATTTTTTTTTCATTTTTCGTTCATTTTTGGTGTAACTAACTCCAAAAGGTTGGAAAAGAGTTCCTACAAAGGTTTTGGACAGTGATTTTAACCCTAACGCCAAAAACCTTAAACCTTACCCTAGCCCCATAACCTAATACCCGGGTATTACCTTCAGGAAGCCCGAACACCCCAAAATATTTTTTTTTCATTTTTCATTTTTTTTGGGTCTAACTAACTCCAAAAGGTTGGAAAAGAGTTCCTACAAAGGTTTTGGACAGTGATTTTAACCCTAACGCCAAAAACCTTAAACCTTACCCTAGCCCCATAACCTAATACCCGGGTATTACCTTCAGGAAGCCCGAACACCCCAAATATTTCTTTTTCATTTTACAATTTTTTTTTTGGTCTAACTAACTCCAAAAGGTTGGAAAAGAGTTCCTACAAAGGTTTTGGACAGTGATTTTAACCCTAACGCCAAAAACATTAAACCTTTCCATAGCCCCATAATCTAATACCCGGGTATTACCTTCAGGAAGACCGAACACCCCAAATATTTCTTGTTCCTTTTTCTTTTTTTTTTGGTTTAACTAACTCCAAAAGGTTGGAAAGGAGTTCCTACAAAGGTTTTGGACAGTGATTTTAACCCTAACGCCAAAAAAACTTACCCTAGCCCCAAAACCTAATACCCGGGTATTACCTTCAGGAAGCCCGAACACCCCAAACATTTTTTTTTCATTTTTCGTTTTTTTTAGGTCTAACTAACTCTAAAAGGTTGGAAAAGAGTTCCTACAAAGATTTTGGACAGTGATTTTAACCCTAACGCCAAAAACCTTAAACCTTACCCTAGCCCCATAACCTAATACCCGGGTATTACCTTCAGGAAGCCCGAAAACCCCAAATATTTTTTTTTCATTTTTCATTTCTTTCCGGTCTAACTAACTCCAAAACGTTGGAAAAGAGTTCCTACAAAGGTTTTGGACAGTGATTTTGACCCTAACGCCAAAAACCTTAAACCTTACCCTAGCCCCATAACCTAATACCTGGGTATTACCTTCAGGAAGCCCGAACACCCCAAACATTTTTTTTTCATTTTTTATTTTTTTTAGGTCTAACTAACTCCAAAAGGTTGGAAAAGAGTTCCTACAAAGGTTTTGGACAGTGATTTTTTTTTATGATTAACATTTTTTATTTCCATTTTTCTTTTAAACAGTACAAACACAAACACAAAAACACAAAACATCCCTCCCTCCCTCCCCAAGTCACCACCAACTGCACTCATTCCTCTCTGGCTTGCAAAGTACGCCACTGTGCTACTCCTTGTACCACTTGCCTTGTTGGATCGGATGCATCAATGTAGCTAAACATAAAGCAATCACAATCTCTACTCAAATCATCGTTGAGATACAAGAAAATATATGAATAAAATAAGACAAAATAATAAATAAAAAAATATTAATAAGTATATAACAATAAATATAAATATACATACACATACTATAAAATAGAATAATAACTATAGTAATAGAAAATATACAATATATATACTATATGTAATTATAATTATATCAGTTCACAAAATATAAATGATATGTACATAAAAATAAATAAATACATAAATAAATATATAAAAATAACTGAATACATACAAACACCTAATAAGCAAGTAATTTAAAATAATGGGTTAAAAAAAAAAGACTATAGATAGTAATGGAAGTTATAACAGAACAGGAGACATCATTAAAGTAACACCCATAACAACTAAATATATATGTATATATATTAACATCTAAATATACATGTATGCCCATGCATACACATATACACAGACACAAAAGGGTTAACAAATACAAATGGAAACAACAATAAAAAAAATATTATAATAATAATAAATAAAATATATATATATATATATATATATATATATATATATACATACATACACACACATATACATATATATATATATATATATATACATACACATGTAGATGCATATACACATTATAATAATAATAATAATAATAATAGTAATAGTAATAGAAATAATAAATAAATGAGTAAATAACTAAATAAGCAAGTAAATAAATGTTTTGGACAGTGATTTTAACCATAATGCCAAAAACCTTAAACCTTTCCATAGCCCCATAATCTAATATCTTCAGGAAGACCGAACACCCCAAATATTTTTTTTTCATTTTTTGTTCATTTTTGGTGTAACTAACTCCAAAAGGTTGGAAAAGAGTTCCTACAAAGGTTTTGGACAGGGATTTTAACCCTAACGCCAAAAACCTTAAACCTGACCCTAGCCTGATTACCCTGATACCTGGGTATTACCTTCAGGAAGCCCGAACACCCCAAATATATTTTTTTATTTTGGATTTCTTTTCGGTCTAACTAACTCCAAAAGGTTGGAAAAGAGTTCCTACAAAGGTTTTGGACAGTGATTTTAACCATAACGCCAAAAACCTTAAACCTTACCCTAGCCCCATAACCTAATACCCGGGTATTACCTTCAGGAAGCCCGAACACCCCAAATATTTCTTGTTCCTTTTTCTTTTTTTTTTTGGTTTAACTAACTCCAAAAGGTTGGAAAGGAGTTCCTACAAAGGTTTTGGACAGTGATTTTAACCCTAACGCCAAAAACCTTACCCTAGCCCCATAACCTAATACCCGGGTATTACCTTCAGGAAGCCTGAACACCCCAAATATTTTTTTTTCATTTTTTGTTTTATTTTGGTCTAACTAACTCCAAAAGGTTGGAAAAGAGTTCCTACAAAGGTTTTGGACAGTGATTTTAACCCTAACGCCAAAAACCTTAAACCTTACCCTAGCCCCATAACCTAATACCCGGGTATTACCTTCAGGAAGCCCGAACACCCCAAACATTTTTTTTTCATTTTTCGTTTTTTTTAGGTCTAACTAACTCCAAAAGGTTGGAAAAGAGTTCCTACAAAGGTTTTGGACAGTGATTTTAACCCTAACGCCAAAAACCTTAAACCTTACCCTAGCCCCATAACCTAATACCCGGGTATTACCTTCAGGAAGCCCGAACACCCCAAATATTTCTTTTTCATTTTAAGATTTTTTTTTTTTGGTGTAACTAACTCCAAAAGGTTGGAAAAGAGTTCCTACAAAGGTTTTGGACAGTGATTTTAACCCTAACGCCAAAAACCTTACCCTAGCCCCATAACCTAATACCCGGGTATTACCTTCAGGAAGCCCGAACACCCCAAATATTTTTTTTTCATTTTTTTTTTTATTTTGGTCTAACTAACTCCAAAAGGTTGGAAAAGAGTTCCTACAAAGGTTTTGGACAGTGATTTTAACCCTAACGCCAAAAACCTTAAACCTTACCCTAGCCCCATAACCTAATACCTGGGTATTACCTTCAGGAAGCCCGAACACCCCAAACATTTTTTTTTCTCTTTTCGTTTTTTTTTAGGTCTAACTAACTCCAAAAGGTTGGAAAAGAGTTCCTACAAAGGTTTTGGACAGTGATTTTAACCCTAACGCCAAAAACCTTAAACCTTACCCTAGCCCCATAACCTAATACCCGGGTATTACCTTCAGGAAGCCCGAACACCCCAAATATTTCTTTTTCCTTTCCTTTTTTTTTTTTGGTCTAACTAACTCCAAAAGGTTGGAAAAAAGTTCCTACAAAGGTTTTGGACAGTGATTTTAACCCTAACGCCAAAAAAATTAAACCTTAGCCTAGCTCCAAAACCTAACACCCGGGTTACCTTCAGGAAACCCGAACACCCCAAATATTTTTTTTTCATTTTACAATTTTTTTTTTCTGGTCTAACTAACTCCAAAAGGTTGGAAAAGAGTTCCTACAAAGGTTTTGGACAGTGATTTTAACCCTAACGCCAAAAACCTGAAACCTTTCACTAGCCCCATAACCTAATACCCGGGTATTACCTTCAGGAAGCCCGAACACCCCAAATATTTCTTTTTCCTTTCCTTTTTTTTTTTTGGTCTAACTAACTCCAAAAGGTTGGAAAAGAGTTCCTACAAAGGTTTTGGACAGTGATTTTAACCCTAACGCCAAAAACCTTACCCTAGCCCCATAACCTAATACCCGGGTATTACCTTCAGGAAGACCGAACACCCCAAATATTTTTTTTTTCATTTTTTGTTTTATTTTGGTCTAACTAACTCCAAAAGGTTGGAAAAGAGTTCCTACAAAGGTTTTGGACAGTGATTTTAACCCTAACGCCAAAAACCTTAAACCTGACCCTAGCCTGATTACCCTGATACCTGGGTATTACCTTCAGGAAGACCGAACACCCCAAATATTTTCTTTTCATTTTTTGTTTTATTTTGGTCTAACTAACTCCAAAAGGTTGGAAAAGAGTTCCTACAAAGGTTTTGGACAGTGATTTTAACCCTAACGCCAAAAACCTTAAACCTTACCCTAGCCCCAAAACCTAATACCCGGGTATTACCTTCAGGAAGCCCAAAACCCCAAATATTTTATTTTTCATTTTTAATTTTTTTTGGGTCTAACTAACTCCAAAAGGTTGGAAAAGAGTTCCTACAAAGGTTTTGGACAGTGATTTTAACCCTAACGCCAAAAACCTTAAACCTTACCCTAGCCCCATAACCTAATACCCGGGTATTACCTTCAGGAAGCCCGAACACCCCAAACATTTTTTTTTTCATTTTTCGTTTTTTTTAGGTCTAACTAACTCCAAAAGGTTGGAAAAGAGTTCCTACAAAGGTTTTGGACAGTGATTTTAACCCTAACGCCAAAAACCTTAAACCTTACCCCAGCCCCATTACCTAATACCCGGGTATTACCTTCAGAGAGCCCGAACACCCCAAATATATATTTTTTTCATTTTTCATTTTTTTCTGGTCTAACTAACTCCAAAAGGTTGGAAAAGAGTTCCTACAAAGGTTTTGGACAGTGATTTTAACCCTAACGCCAAAAACCCTAAACCTTTCACTAGCCCCATAACCTAATACCCAGGTATTACCTTCAGGAAGCCCGAACACCCCAAATATTTCTTTTTCATTTTACAATTTTTTTTTTTCTGGTCTAACTAACTCCAAAAGGTTGGAAAAGAGTTCCTACAAAGGTTTTGGACAGTGATTTTAACCCTAACGCCAAAAACCTTACCCTAGCCCCATAACCTAATACCCGGGTATTACCTTCAGGAAGCCCGAACACCCCAAATATTTTTTTTTCATTTTTATTTTTTTTTGGTCTAACTAACTCCAAAAGGTTGGAAAAGAGTTCCTACAAAGGTTTTGGACAGTGATTTTAACCCTAACGCCAAAAACCTTAAACCTTACCCTAGCCCCATAACCTAATACCCGGGTATTACCTTCAGGAAGCCCGAACACCCAAAACATTTTTTTTTCTCTTTTCGTTTTTTTTAGGTCTAACTAACTCCAAAATGTTGGAAAAGAGTTCCTACAAAGGTTTTGGACAGTGATTTTAACCCTAACGCCAAAAAATTAAACCTTAGCCTAGCTCAAAACCTAACACCCGGGTGTTACCTTCAGAAAGCCCGAAAACCCCAAATATTTCTTTTTCATTTTTTATTTTTTTGGTCTAACTAACTCCAAAAGGTTGGAAAAGAGTTCCTACAAAGGTTTTGGACAGTAATTTTAACCCTAACGCCAAAAACCTTACCCTAGCCCCATAACCTAATACCCGGGTATTACCTTCAGGAAGCCTGAACACCCCAAATATTTTTTTTTCATTTTTTGTTTTATTTTGGTCTAACTAACTCCAAAAGGTTGGAAAAGAGTTCCTACAAAGGTTTTGGACAGTGATTTTAACCCTAACGCCAAAAACCTTAAACCTTACCCTAGCCCCATAACCTAATACCCGGGTATTACCTTCAGGAAGCCCGAACACCCCAAATATTTCTTTTTCATTTTACAATTTTTTTTTTGGTGTAACTAACTCCAAAAGGTTGGAAAAGAGTTCCTACAAAGGTTTTGGACAGTGATTTTAACCCTAACACCAATCACCTTACCCTAGCCCCATGACCTAATACCCGGGTATTACCTTCAGGAAGACCGAACACCCCAATTTTTTTTTTTTCATTTTTTGTTTTATTTTGGTCTAACTAACTCCAAAAGGTTGGAAAAGAGTTCCTACAAAGGTTTTGGACAGTGATTTTAACCCTAACGCCAAAAACCTTAAACCTTACCCTAGCCCCGTAACCTAAAACCCGGGTATTACCTTCAGAAAGCCAGAAAACCCCAAATATTTTTTTTTCATTTTTCATTTCTTTCGGGTGTAACTAACTCCAAAAGGTTGGAAAAGAGTTCCTACAAAGGTTTTGGACAGTGATTTTAACCCTAACGCCAAAAAACTTAAACCTTAGCCTAGCTCCAAAACCTAATACCCGGGTATTACCTTCAGGAAGCCCGAACACCCCAAATATTTCTTTTTCATTTTTTGTTTTATTTTGGTCTAACTAACTCCAAAAGGTTGGAAAAGAGTTCCTACAAAGGTTTTGGACAGTGATTTTAACCCTAACGCCAAAAACCTTAAACCTTACCCTAGCCCCATAACCTAATACCCGGGTATTACCTTCAGGAAGCCCGAACACCCCAAATATTTCTTTTTCAATTTACAATTTTTTTTTTGGTGTAACTAACTCCAAAAGGTTGGAAAAGAGTTCCTACAAAGGTTTTGGACAGAGATTTTAACCCTAACGCCAAAAACCTTACCCTAGCCCCATGACCTAATACCCGGGTATTACCTTCAGGAAGACCGAACACCCCAATTTTTTTTTTTTCATTTTTTGTTTTATTTTGGTCTAACTAACTCCAAAAGGTTGGAAAAGAGTTCCTACAAAGGTTTTGGACAGGGATTTTAACCCTAACGCCAAAAACCTTAAACCTTACCCTAGCCCCGTAACCTAAAACCCGGGTATTACCTTCAGAAAGCCCGAAAACCCCAAATATTTTTTTTTCATTTTTCATTTTTTTTGGTCTAACTAACTCCAAAAGGTTGGAAAAGAGTTCCTACAAAGGTTTTGGACAGTGATTTTAACCCTAACGCCAAAAACCTTAAACCTTACCCTAGCCCCATAACCTAATACCCGGGTATTACCTTCAGGAAGCCCGAAAACCCCAAATATTTTTTTTCATTTTTCGTTTTTTTTGGTCTAACTAACTCCAAAAGGTTGGAAAAGAGTTCCTACAAAGGTTTTGGACAGTGATTTTAACCCTAACGCCAAAAACCTTAAACCTTACCAAAGCCCCATAACCTAATACCTGGGTATTACCTTCAGGAAGCCCGAACACCCCAAATATTTCTTTTTCATTTTACAATTTTTTTTTGGTCTAACTAACTCCAAAAGGTTGGAAAAGAGTTCCTACAAAGGTTTTGGACAGTGATTTTAACCCTAACGCCAAAAACCTTAAACCTTACCCTAGCCCCATAACCTAATACCCGGGTATTACCTTCAGGAAGCCCGAAAACCCCAAATATATTTTTTTTCATTTTTCATTATTTTTCTGCTCTAACTAACTCCAAAAGGTTGGAAAAGAGTTCCTACAAAGGTTTTGGACAGTGATTTTAACCCTAACGCCAAAAACCTGAAACCTTTCACTAGCCCCTTAACCTAATACCCGGGTATTACCTTCAGGAAGCCCAAACACCCCAAATATTTCTTTTTCATTTTACAATTTTTTTTTTTGGTGTAACTAACTCCAAAAGGTTGGAAAAGAGTTCCTAAAAGGTTTTGGACAGTGATTTTAACCCTAACGCCAAAAACCTTACCCTAGCCCCATAACCTAATGCCAAAAACCTTACCCTAGCCCCATAACCTAATACCCGGGTATTACCTTCAGGAAGACCGAACACCCCAAATATTTTTTTTTCATTTTTTTTTTTTTTGGTCTAACTAACTCCAAAAGGTTGGAAAAGAGTTCCTACAAAGGTTTTGGACAGGGATTTTAACCCTAACGCCAAAAACCTTAAACCTTACCCTAGCCCCAGAACCTAATACCTTCAGGAAGCCCGAACACCCCAACATTTTTTTTTCATTTTTCGTTTTTTTTAGGTCTAACTAACTCCAAAAGGTTGGAAAAGAGTTCCTACAAAGGTTTTGGACAGTGATTTTAACCCTAACGCCAAAAAACTTAAACCTTAGCCTAGCCCCATAACCTAATACCCGGGTATTACCTTCAGGAAGCCCGAACACCCCAAATATTTCTTTTTCAATTTACAATTTTTTTTTTTGTTGTAACTAACTCCAAAAGGTTGGAAAAGAGTTCCTACAAAGGTTTTGGACAGTGATTTTAACCCTAACGCCAAAAACCTTACCCTAGCCCCATAACCTAATACCCGGGTATTACCTTCAGGAAGCCCGAACACCCCAAATATTTTTTTTTCACTTTTTGTTTTATTTTGGTCTAACTAACTCCAAAAGGTTGGAAAAGAGTTCCTACAAAGGTTTTGGACAGTGATTTTAACCCTAACGCCAAAAACCTTAAACCTTACCCTAGCCCCATAACCTAATACCCGGGTATTACCTTCAGAAAGCCCGAAAACCCCAAATATTTTTTTTTCATTTTTCATTTCTTTCCGGTCTAACTAACTCCAAAATGTTGGAAAAGAGTTCCTACAAAGGTTTTGGACAGTGATTTTAACCCTAACGCCAAAAACCTTAAACCTTACCCCAGCCCCATTACCTAATACCCGGGTATTACCTTCAGAGAGCCCGAAAACCCCAAATATTTTTTTTTTCATTTTTCATTTTTTTCTGGTCTAACTAACTCCAAAAGGTTGGAAAAGAGTTCCTACAAAGGTTTTGGACAGTGATTTTAACCCTAACGCCAAAAACCCTAAACCTTTCACTAGCCCCATAACCTAATACCCAGGTATTACCTTCAGGAAGCCCGAACACCCCAAATATTTCTTTTTCATTTTACAAATTTTCTTTTTGGTGTAACTAACTTCAAAAGGTTGGAAAAGAGTTCCTACAAAGGTTTTGGACAGTAATTTTAACCCTAACGCCAAAAACCTTACCCTAGCCCCATAACCTAATACCCGGGTATTACCTTCAGGAAGCCTGAACACCCCAAATATTTTTTTTTCATTTTTTGTTTTATTTTGGTCTAACTAACTCCAAAAGGTTGGAAAAGAGTTCCTACAAAGGTTTTGGACAGTGATTTTAACCCTAACGCCAAAAACCTTAAACCTTACCCTAGCCCCATAACCTAATACCCGGGTATTACCTTCAGGAAGCCCGAACACCCCAAACATTTTTTTTTCTCTTTTCGTTTTTTTTAGGTCTAACTAACTCCAAAAGGTTGGAAAAGAGTTCCTACAAAGGTTTTGGACAGTGATTTTAACCCTAACGCCAAAAACCTTAAACCTTACCAAAGCCCCATAACCTAATACCTGGGTATTACCTTCAGGAAGCCCGACCACCCCAAATATTTCTTTTTCATTTTACAATTTTTTTTTTGGTTTAACTAACTCCAAAAGGTTGGAAAGGAGTTCCTACAAAGGTTTTGGACAGTGATTTTAACCCTAACGCCAAAAACCTTAAACCTTACCCTAGCTCCAAAACCTAATACCCGGGTATTACCTTCAGAAAGCCCGAAAACCCCAAATATTTCTTTTTCATTTTTTATTTTTTTCTGGTCTAACTAACTCCAAAAGGTTGGAAAAGAGTTCCTACAAAGGTTTTGGACAGTGATTTTAACCCTAACGCCAAAAACCTGAAACCTTTCACTAGCCCCATAACCTAATACCCGGGTATTACCTTCAGGAAGACCGAACACCCCAAATATTTTTTTTTCATTTTTTGTTTTATTTTGGTCTAACTAACTCCAAAAGGTTGGAAAAGAGTTCCTACAAAGGTTTTGGACAGTGATTTTAACCCTAACGCCAAAAACCTTAAACCTTACCCTAGCCCCGTAACCTAATACCCGGGTATTACCTTCAGAAAGCCCGAAAACCCCAAATATTTTTTTTTCATTTTCCATTTCTTTCCGGTCTAACTAACTCCAAAATGTTGGAAAAGAGTTCCTACAAAGGTTTTGGACAGTGATTTTAACCCTTACGCCAAAAACCTTAAACCTTTCCCTAGCCCCATAGCCTAATACCTTCAGGAAGCCCGAACACCCCAAATATTTCTTTTTCAATTTACAATTTTTTTTTTGGTGTAACTAACTCCAAAAGGTTGGAAAAGAGTTCCTACAAAGGTTTTGGACAGAGATTTTAACCCTAACGCCAAAAACCTTACCCTAGCCCCATGACCTAATACCCGGGTATTACCTTCAGGAAGACCGAACACCCCAATTTTTTTTTTTTTCATTTTTTGTTTTATTTTGGTCTAACTAACTCCAAAAGGTTGGAAAAGAGTTCCTACAAAGGTTTTGGACAGGGATTTTAACCCTAACGCCAAAAACCTTAAACCTTACCCTAGCCCCATAACCTAATACCCGGGTATTACCTTCAGAAAGCCCGAAAACCCCAAATATTTTTTTTTTCATTTTTCATTTCTTTCGGGTCTAACTAACTCCAAAAGGTTGGAAAAGAGTTCCTACAAAGGTTTTGGACAGTGATTTTAACCCTTACGCCAAAAACCTTAAACCTTTCCCTAGCCCCATAGCCTAATACCTTCAGGAAGCCCGAACACCCCAAATATTTCTTTTTCATTTTTCGTTTTTTTTGGTCCAACTAACTCCAAAAGGTTGGAAAAGAGTTCGGACAAAGGTTTTGGACAGTGATTTTAACCATAATGCCAAAAACCTTAAACCTTACCAAAGCCCCATAACCTAATACCTGGGTATTACCTTCAGGAAGCCCATACACCCCAAATATTTCTTTTTCATTTTACAATTTTTTTTTTGGTTTAACTAACTCCAAAAGGTTGGAAAGGAGTTCCTACAAAGGTTTTGGACAGTGATTTTAACCCTTACGCCAAAAACCTTAAACCTTTCCCTAGCCCCATAACCTAATACCTTCAGGAAGCCCGAACACCCCAACATTTTTTTTTCATTTTTCATTTTTTTTAGGTCTAACTAACTCCAAAAGGTTGGAAAAGAGTTCCTACAAAGGTTTTGGACAGTGATTTTAACCCTAACGCCAAAAACCTTAAACCTTACCCTAGCCCCATAACCTAATACCCGGGTATTACCTTCAGGAAGCCCATACACCCCAAATATTTCTTTTTCATTTTACAATTTTTTTTTTTGGTGTAACTAACTCCAAAAGGTTGGAAAAGAGTTCCTACAAAGGTTTTGGACAGTGATTTTAACCCTAACGCCAAAAAACTTAAACCTTAGCCTAGCTCCAAAACCTAATACCCGGGTGTTACCTTCAGAAAGCCCGAAAACCCCAAATATTTCTTTTTCATTTTTTATTTTTTTCTGGTCTAACTAACTCCAAAAGGTTGGAAAAGAGTTCCTACAAAGGTTTTGGACAGTGATTTTAACCCTAACGCCAAAAACCTGAAACCTTTCACTAGCCCCATAACCTAATACCCGGGTATTACCTTCAGGAAGCCCGAACACCCCAAATATTTCTTTTTCAATTTACAATTTTTTTTTTGGTGTAACTAACTCCAAAAGGTTGGAAAAGAGTTCCTACAAAGGTTTTGGACAGAGATTTTAACCCTAACGCCAAAAACCTTACCCTAGCCCCATGACCTAATACCCGGGTATTACCTTCAGGAAGACCGAACACCCCAATTTTTTTTTTTTTCATTTTTTGTTTTATTTTGGTCTAACTAACTCCAAAAGGTTGGAAAAGAGTTCCTACAAAGGTTTTGGACAGGGATTTTAACCCTAACGCCAAAAACCTTAAACCTTACCCTAGCCCCATAACCTAATACCCGGGTATTACCTTCAGGAAGCCCGAAAACCCCAAATATTTTTTTTTCATTTTTCATTTCTTTCGGGTCTAACTAACTCCAAAAGGTTGGAAAAGAGTTCCTACAAAGGTTTTGGACAGTGATTTTAACCCTTACGCCAAAAACCTTAAACCTTTCCCTAGCCCCATAACCTAATACCTTCAGGAAGCCCGAACACCCCAACATTTTTTTTTCATTTTTCGTTTTTTTTAGGTCTAACTAACTCCAAAAGGTTGGAAAAGAGTTCCGACAAAGGTTTTGGACAGTGATTTTAACCATAATGCCAAAAACCTTAAACCTTACCAAAGCCCCATAACCTAATACCTGGGTATTACCTTCAGGAAGCCCATACACCCCAAATATTTCTTTTTCATTTTACATTTTTTTTTTTGGTTTAACTAACTCCAAAAGGTTGGAAAAGAGTTCCTACAAAGGTTTTGGACAGTGATTTTAACCCTAACGCCAAAAACCTTAAACCTTTCCCTAGCCCCATAACCTAATACCCGAGTATTACCTTCAGGAAGCCAAAACACCCCAAATATTTCTTTTTCATTTTACAATTTTTTTTTTGGTGTAACTAACTCCAAAAGGTTGGAAAAGAGTTCCTACAAAGGTTTTGGACAGTGATTTTAACCCTAACGCCAAAAACCTTACCCTAGCCCCATAGCCTAATACCCGGGTATTACCTTCAGGAAGACCGAAAACCCCAAATATTTTTTTTTTCACTTTTTGTTTTATTTTGGTCTAACTAACTCCAAAAGGTTGGAAAAGAGTTCCCACAAAGGTTTTGGACAGGGATTTTAACCCTAACGCCAAAAACCTTAAACCTTACCCTAGCCCCGTAACCTAATACCTGGGTATTACCTTCAGAAAGCCCGAAAACCCCAAATATTTTTTTTTCATTTTTCATTTCTTTCCGGTCTAACTAACTCCAAAATGTTGGAAAAGAGTTCCTACAAAGGTTTTGGACAGTGATTTTAACCCTAACGCCAAAAACCTTAAACCTTACCAAAGCCCCATAACCTAATACCTGGGTATTACCTTCAGGAAGCCCGAACACCCCAAATATTTCTTTTTCATTTTACAATTTTTTTTTTGGTTTAACTAACTCCAAAAGGTTGGAAAAGAGTTCCTACAAAGGTTTTGGACAGTGATTTTAACCCTAACGCCAAAAACCTTAAACCTTACCCTAGCCCCATAACCTAATACCCGGGTATTACCTTCAGGAAGCCCGAACACCCCAAATATTTTTTTTTTCATTTTTCATTTTTTTTTTGGTCTAACTAACTCCAAAAGGTTGGAAAAGAGTTCCTACAAAGGTTTTGGACAGTGATTTTAACCCTTACGCCAAAAACCTGAAACCTTTCACTAGCCCCATAACCTAATACCCGAGTATTACCTTCAGGAAGCCCAAATACCCCAAATATTTCTTTTTCATTTTACAATTTTTTTTTTGGTGTAACTAACTCCAAAAGGTTGGAAAAGAGTTCCTACAAAGGTTTTGGACAGTGATTTTAACCATAATGCCAAAAACCTTACCCTAGCCCCATAGCCTAATACCCGGGTATTACCTTCAGGAAGCCCGAACACCCCAAATATTTTTTTTTCATTTTTTTTTTTTTTTGGTCTAACTAACTCCAAAAGGTTGGAAAAGAGTTCCTACAAAGGTTTTGGACAGTGATTTTAACCCTAACGCCAAAAACCTTAAACCTTACCCTAGCCCCATAACCTAATACCCGGGTATTACCTTCAGAAAGCCCGAAAACCCCAAATATTTTTTTTTCATTTTTCATTTTTTTTTGGTCTAACTAACTCCAAAAGGTTGGAAAAGAGTTCCTACAAAGGTTTTGGACAGTGATTTTAACCCTAACGCCAAAAACCTTAAACCTTACCCTAGCCCCATAACCTAATACCTGGGTATTACCTTCAGGAAGCCCGAACACCCCAAACATTTTTTTTTCATTTTTCGTTTTTTTTTAGGTCTAACTAACACCAAAAGGTTGGAAAAGAGTTCCTACAAAGGTTTTGGACAGGGATTTTAACCCTAACGCCAAAAACCTTAAACCTTACCAAAGCCCCATAACCTAATACCCGGGTATTACCTTCAGGAAGCCCGAACACCCCAAATATTTCTTTCTCATTTTACAATTTTTTTTTTGGTTTAACTAACTCCAAAAGGTTGGAAAGGAGTTCCTACAAAGGTTTTGGACAGTGATTTTAACCCTAACGCCAAAAAACTTAAACCTTACCCTAGCCCCAAAACCTAATACCTGGGTGTTACCTTCAGAAAGCCCGAAAACCCCAAATATTTTTTTTTTCATTTTTCATTATTTTTCTGATCTAACTAACTCCAAAAGGTTGGAAAAGAGTTCCTACAAAGGTTTTGGACAGTGATTTTAACCCTAACGCCAAAAACCTTAAACCTTTCACTAGCCCCTTAACCTAATACCCGGGTATTACCTTCAGGAAGACCAAACACCCCAAATATTTCTTTTTCATTTTACAAATTTTTTTTTTGGTGTAACTAACTCCAAAAGGTTGGAAAAGAGTTCCTACAAAGGTTTTGGACAGTGATTTTAACCCTAACGCCAAAAACCTTAAACCTTTCCCTAGCCCCATAACCTAATACCTTCAGGAAGCCCGAACACCCCAACATTTTTTTTTCATTTTTCGTTTTTTTTAGGTCTAACTAACTCCAAAAGGTTGGAAAAGAGTTCCTACAAAGGTTTTGGACAGTGATTTTAACCATAATGCCA